TTCCATTGTATATATTGCACATTTTGCTTACCCATTCATCTGTTGATGGACACTTGTGTATTCCTCCCACTGTGCAGATCACATTATGCTTATCTAGTCGTCCATTGATGGACACTTGGTTTTCTTCTACATTTTAGCTTTTGTGAATAATGCCGCTTTGAACACAGATGTTCAAATAGCTCTTCAAGACCCTGCTTTCAATTCTTTTGAGCATATACCCAGAAGTGAAGTTGCTGGATCAGATGGTTTTTCCATGTTTCATTTTTTGAGAAACTTCCATTCTGTTTTCCACAGCAGCTAAACCATTTTATGCTCCCACAACAGTGCATAAGGGTTCTGCTTCATCCACATCCTTGTTAACACTTTTTTTAAAATAGCCATTCTTATGGATGTGAGGTGGTATCTCACTGTGATTTTAATTTGCATTTCCATAAGGGTGGGTGACATTAAGCATCTTTTCATGTGCTTCTCGGTCACTTGTATATCTTTTTTGGAGAAATATCTATTCAAGTCCTTTGCTCATTATTGAATCGGTTTTCTTTGTTGAGTTTTAAGAATTTCCATATATTCTAAATATTAATCCTTTATCAGATATGTGACTTGCAAATATTTTCTCCCAATCTGTGGGTTGTCTTTTCACTTTGCTGATAGTGTCTTTTGATTCATAAACATTTATTTTTTTTTTTAGTTGGAGTCTCACTCTGTCACCCAGGCTGGAGTGCAGTGGCACACTCACAGCCCCCACAGCCTCAAACTGCTGGGCTCAGGTGATCCTTCCACCTCAGCCTTCCAAGTAGCTGGAACTACAGACATGTACCACCATGCCTGGTTAATTTTTTGGTTTACTGTAGAGATGAGGTCTCAATAAACTGTCCGGGCTGGTCTCGAACTCACAGGCTCAGGCAATCCACTTGCCTCGGCTTCCCCAAGTGCTGGGATTATAGGCTTGAGCCACCGCCCCCAGTCCCATAAACATTTTTAATTTTCACAATGTCCAGTTTGTCTAGTTTTTATTTTGTTACCTGTGCCTTTGGTGTCATAACCAAGAAACCTTGGCTGTGAAGTTTTGCCCTGTTTTCTCCTGAGAGTTTTATTGTTTAGTTTAGGGCATTTGTTTATTTTGGGTTGATTTTTGTATATGGTGTGAGGTAGGAGTTCAACTTTATTCTTTTGCCTGTGGATATCCAGTTTTCCTAGCACCATCTGTTGAAAGCCTATTCTTTCCCTACCGACTAGCCTTGGCATCCTTTATTTCTGGGCTTTCTAGTCTATTCCATTGTTCTATATGCCCGTCTTTATGCCGGCAACACTTTTTTGATTACTGTAATTTTGCATTAGTTTTGATATCAGAAAATATGAGTCCACCAACTTTTTAAAGTTAGTTTTGATAATGCAATAGTCACCTGTGTGTATGACTATCATACTTTGTGGATATCCATTCTCCCCATAAGACCATTCGGGTTGCTTTGAGGTTTCTACTATTGTAAGAAGGGCTGCTATGAATATGGGCAGAAGCATTTCTTAGACATAAACATAGGAGCAGAATCATTTGATAACAGGTTACATGAATGCTCAACTTTAGAAGATGATGTCAAATGGGCTTTCGAAGCTGTTGCACCAATTTACTCCTATGTTTGTTTGTTTGTTTTTCTTTTCCTTTTTTTCTTTCTTTTTTTTTTTTTAGTCTCACTCTGTCACCCAGACTGGAATGCAGTGGCATGCTCACAGCTACCACAGCCTCAACCTGCTGGGCTCAGGTGATCCTTCTGCCTCAGCCTTCCAAGAAGCTGGAACTATAGGCATGTGCCACCATGCCTAGCTAATTTTTTGATTTACTATACAGATGAAGTCTCACCATGTTGCCCAGGCTGGTCTTGAACTCATGAACTCAGGCAATCCTCTCACCTCGGCCTCCCAAAGTGCTGGGATTACAGGTGTAAGCCGCTACACCCAGCCCAGTTTCTTTTTCTTAACCCAGCTTGGGCTGATTGGCTTTTGTCTGATCGGATCTGGATTCTGATGGGAACAAGGGCACCACATTTCAGAATCCAGAGCTGTGCGGTGCTGGGCCTCAAGGTAGACTAGAACTGGGACAGCCAACCCTGGACAAATGGTAATCACAGGCAAAGAAGGAAGTTAAGTGTCTACAAAAGGACAATGGCAAAAGTCTGTGGAGGGATGCAGAGAAAGATTGTGTAGCCACTGAAAGATGAAAAGCACAGGATAGATGTCCATAACCCATGAGACCGGTTCACGATCCATGAGACCCGTTCCTTTTCCTTGCTTCTATGACATTGCCATGCACCTTTATAACATGTTTTTACATTTTAACTTGTGGCCTGGCATATTTCAGACCTACAGAAAAGTTCTAAGAATGATACAAAGAGCTCCAATATATAATTTATCCACATTCCCTAAATGTCAACATTTTACCACATCTGTGTTATCCTTTTCTATCTCTGTATAAACATGCATATTATTTCTTCTCATTTGTTTGAGGATAAGTTGAAGACACAATATCCTTTTACCCTAAGTAAATAATAGTGCATATTACTTAGAACAAGGCATTCTCTTACATAACCATAGTATAACAACATTAGCCTTGATACAATTACCTGATCTACAATACTAGTTCAGAGTTTGCCAGTTGTCCCCATAATACCCTTTATAGGAATCAGGTATTGCCCTCATTGGCATGTTCCTTTAGTTTCCTTTCATCTGAAAGGGTTCTGTCTTCTTTTGTGTTGACAGATATGAATATCACAGTTTTTTTTTGTAGAATATCCCTCAGTTTGGACATGTCTTCCTTAAGATTAGATCAGGTTGTGCACTTTAGTTAGGAGTATTGTATCCTTCTCAGGAGGTCCATGATATCAATTTGTCCCGTGATTGGTGACGTTAAGGTTGACTACCTGGAGAAGGTGACATTCGTCAGGTTTTCTCCACTGTGAAATTACTACTTTTCCCTCAGTAACTTATAAAATAAATGGGTTTTTTAGCTCTACTAGTTGTACTCTGCTAGACTGAGTGACTGCCCCTTGCAAATTATCATCTCCACGTTAGTTAACTAAAGATCTCATGCAAATTGGCTTAAGAGGGAGGGAAATGTAGGGTTGCAACTAACTGATGACACCATTCAAATTGACCTACGTGGGGAGGGCATTTATAGTCCAGAAGTAACTCTGACTTCAGGTGCAGCTGGATCCAGGAGCTTGGTATAATCAGGAACTTGACTTGTTCATCAGTGTCTATAAACTAAGGGAATTAGATACTGGGCAGACAGAAGCAGTAGATGTCTGCTTCATTGATTCAGAAAACAGTGAAGGGGAAGAAGTAAGAAGTGCATGGAAAGAACCAAGCACAGCCTGGGATAGCTATGGAGAGCCTCACCCAAGGAATTCAAGAGGCTAAGCATCCCAGGACCTGGATTATCCGCATATTCCCTGGCCACATAAGATCCAGACTGAGTAGCCAGGTGCGGTGGCTCATACCTGAAATCCCAACACTTTGGGAGGCCAAGGTGAGAGGATAGCTTGAGGTCAGGTGTTTGAACCCAGCCTGGGCAACACAGCGAGAAATCATCTTTACAAAAAATAGACATAAAAAAACTAACCAGGCATGGTGGCACGTGGCTACAGTCCCAGCTACTCAGGAGACTGAGGTGGAAGGATCTCCTGAGCCCAGGAGGTTGAGGCTGCGGTGAGCCATGATCATGCCACTGCACTCCAGCCTGGGTGACAGAGGGAGACCCCAACTCAGGAAAAATCCAGGCTGGGCTGATGAAAGAGAGTTTCCAGCACTATTGGCAAAAGAGGCACTCTGACTATTGAGCATGTGGATGCCAGCCTAGAACTAAACGTGGTCATCTTTGTCTCCCAAATGAAGAATCTGCCTGACAGTGAAGCCAACACAGAGAGAGCAGAGAGATACAGAGAGCTGAACTCCTCAGGGCTCCGCTCAGCACCAGATCCAGCAGTGTCTAAGGCCTAAAGTGCCCCTGGAATTGTCAGCTGAACGGCTAGTGAATTCACTTTCCTGCTTAGGCAAATGTGGAAATAGAAGGTCGTAAGGGTTGTTTTTGAAAACGAAAAAATGCATATTAGAAACATTCTACTTTTAAGAACGAAATCATCTTTGAATTAAAAGTAAATAATTTTGACCCTAATGTATTTGTTTATTCAACTGCTGTGGTGTAAAAACTTATTTTGTGCCAATAAAAAATGATGCATTGACAAACACTTGAACTAAAAAGTTTTGATAATATGGTAAATCACATAGAAGTGGATGTCTAGTGAAAGGTCATACTTAACAACACATACCCTGTTCTTCATGGAAATAGGCAGATTTCTCAGTTACCCTGCTATTCAATATAATGAACGAGCATTCCCCTACCGGGCTGTTTTACTATAGAGTCTTGTTCAAAAAATCACTATTGAGGTATAATTTAGGTACAATGAAAGGCACCCATTTCAAGTGTACAGTTAGGGAGTCTTGACACATGTATTCGCCCATATAAGCCACCATCACACTCATGATATGAACACACTTGTCACCTCAGAAAGTTCCCTCAAGTCTTCTTGCAGTCAATCCTTCTCTCATGGCCCCAGGCAACAATGATCTGCTCCCTGCCACCCTAGATTAGTTTTGCCTGTAATAGAATTTTTTTGTTTTGAGTCAGAGTCTCACTCTGTCATCCAGGCTGGAGTGCAATGGCACGCACATGACTATGGCAGCCTCGACCTGCTGGGCTCAGGCGATCTTTCCACTCCAGCCTTCCAAGTAGCTGGAACTACAGGCACATGTCACCATGCCCAGCTAATTTTTTTATTTATTGTAGAGACAAGGTCTTGCTATGTTGTCCAGGCTGGTCTTGAATCCTGGGCTCAAGCAATCCTCTCACCTCGGCCTCCCAAAGTGCTGGGATTACAGGTGTGAGCCACCGTACCTGGCTAGAATTTCAATATAGGAAATTATACACGATGTATTCTTTTGCATCCAGCTTTTTGTAATAGTCTGTGTATATTTTATTTTCTATAGTGTCTGTGTTTACATGTATGTCATAGTTTATGCATCATGTTTTAGATAACTGTAGAAGATAATATAACAAGAATAGGTAGAATATAACATCGGTTCATAAACTCCACCTGTATTATGTCTTTCAGGTGTAACTGAATTCAAAATGAAGAACTTTTAATATCTTTTCCCACTTTTGAAAATTAACTTCAAAAAGTATAAGGACCTCTAGAACAGCATTTCATTTTTGAGATGTCATTGACAATTCACCCTGTCCATTTGGAGAAGCCTAGATTCTAAAGCCAAATCCAGGAGGAGCCTTGTTTAGACGTTGGCACTAGCTTGAATCATCTTCTGTCACTTACACACAGGCCTCCCTGTCCCCTCCTGAAACCGCCCAGTTCCTTTGTGTCATGGAGCTCACTCAACAAGCTCAGCCCAGGCTGGAATGAAAAACCACTGGAGTGTTATGTCCCATGGGTGTAGAAAAAGGTGTTGAAGAGGCTCTCACACCAGATGTCCCCTCAGTTCAAAAGGTAGAGAATCAGGTCTCATGGTGTCCACGTCTCCTGCCACCTGATCATAGACTCCTCTTGGGCCCTTATATTCATCTTCAGGCCAATGGAGGACACCAGGGCCCTAAAAGGTAAAACTGGAGTTAGAACCATAAAGTGATGCCCCCAGGGACCGTCAGCGCAGACCTGGGAGATACACAGCTCTGCTCAACTTCCCAGGAAAAAAAAAGTTTCAGCTTTTAATGACGGGTGGAAAAACCAAACATTTGCAAAGAGGAGTGTAATTATAATGAACTCCTTTCGTGAACCCCTATGTACCCATCACCTAACTTACACAATATCAATGCCTGGTCAATTGATTCAACTATATCTCTATCTTCTCATCCCTCACCTCCACCAACTGGATTATTTTGAAGCAAGCCCAGGATACCCCACAATTTGATGTGAGGAAAATAATGTAAATGTTAGATATATGAACCTTTTAAAAAGTCCATGACATCAGCTATGGCGATTGTGGAATGTGAGTCATAAGTCTGTTAGCCCTGTGAATCTCCAAAACAGTTCTCCAATCAAAATAGAAGTGAAGAAAAGACCATGAAGAGTGGTCTTTACTGAGGATGTGTTTTATCCTAGGGCTGAGGGAAAATGGTTGTTTTAGATGAGCAAACTTTGGAGCAGATTGGCCCATGAACCAGATATGGCTGCCGCTTGTTTTTGTACTGCCCAAGAGCTAAGAATGGTTTTGCATTTTGTAATTGTAAGAGAAAAAATAAAAAAGATAGTATGTGTGACATAGGAAAATTGTATGAAATTCAAATTACAGTGTTCAAAAATAAAACTTCATTGGAACACAGCCACACTCATTCATTTATGTATTGTCTATGGCTGCTTTTACTTTACAGTGGCAGAGTTTGAGTAGTTTTGGGGAAGGCCTTATGTCCCACAAAGCCCAAAATATTTACTATCTGGCCCTTTCCAGAAAAAGTCTGCAGATTCCATCTGTGCTTCAGAGGGCGCATATGATCCAGCACCATGGACAGCGTTTGTGAGCATTATTTCCAGACTGGTGGAAAGCTCTGATCTGAGAACAGTGCCCCACAAGGGAATGTTGTTACAGAGAGAAATCCTTGGCCCAGAGGTGCCAGAACATTTGCCAAGGTCACCCAGGAAGTCAGAGATCCTGACCCATGTCCCTTACTGTGTGGCAGTGGGTGGGGTTGGTTGGTGGCCAATGTGCCTGCCAACTGTTCTTGCCCGCCCAGCCAGTGTCTTCATGTCCCTCTGGGCTCTCTGTCCTTCTCGCACTCTTAGTCCAGCGATTTGACCAGGGCTGCCCCTACTCCCTGACCCCATGCTGGGCATGGATCCAGGCCTGTCCTTTGAGCATATTCTATCCCCTGCCTCAGTGATGGGTTCAGCCATGAGAATGTGACCCAAGTTAGCAATAAGTGTCGCATTAGGCATTTGAAGCTATTGAAAAAGAGGCATTCTCATGGCTGCATGCAGTGGCTCATGCCTGTAATCCCAGTATTTTGGGGGCTGAGCCCAGGGGTTCGAGAACAGCCTGGGTAACTTGGCGAGATCTAGTCTCTACAATAAATCAAGAAAAATTAGCCAGGCATGGTGACATATGCCTGTAGTTCCAGCTACTTGGAAGACTGAGGTGGAAGGATTACCTGAGCCCAGAAGGTTGAGACTGCAGTGACTGTGGTTGTGCCACTGCACTCCAACCTGGGTGACAGTGAGGCTCTGACTCAAAAAAAAAGAAAAAAAAAGAGGCATTTTCTTTCTACGAAGATTTCTAATCTAATACAATACAAGCCTGGATTTTCCAGGGGTATTTTTAGGAAGAGAATTCTGGGCCCAGCTGGGCCTGAAGACAATTCTATTCCTTGACATTCAATTGTGGGCCAAAAAGTTCTTTCTCTCTGCTCAACCAGTGTAGTGAATCTGGTTACTTATCTAAGGAAACGCATACCTTCTTTTCCCACAGAAACAGAATTGTAGCGAGGCACATAACTGCCAAGCTAGACAACACTGTCACAGTCTCCTCTGCAGTTAGGTGTGACCATGTGACTGTGTTCTCACCAGTGGTATGAAAGCAGAGTGGTGTGCACCATTGCAGGGCCTTGGCAACAAGGCAGGGTTGTGTCCCCATCACACTTTCTTTTCTCTTTCCCACTGACTGAAACCCCCATGAACTGGCCCATGCATGCAGACTTGCATGATGTACTAGGAGATGACAGAGGAACACAATGGAAAAAACTTGGGTTCCATAATAACCATGTACAGCAGGGCTACTCACCTCTGTGAGAAACAAACAGACTGGATTATGGCCAAGCCTCTTTGCCACAGCAGCTAGCTTACCCTAACTACCACAAGCAGTAGGCGGTGGGCTTGCAGCACTAGCCAGAAAAGACTTCTGCCAACACAAAGCTCCTCACCATCTGCACTTCATCATAGAGGGGTGCCCAGGCCCCAGACGGGGCATACGGTCTTTCTACCTCATCATACAGGTGCCCAGGAAAGGCCACAGCCTCATCTGCAAGACCTGTGAAACCTGGAGTTGGAGTGGAAGGGAAGGATGATCAAGACACCTGGTCCAGACATCAGGGGTATCTCTGAGTGGGGGACGTCCTGGTGGGGCCACAACTCACCTTGGGAATAAGACACATCCTCCAGTGTGGGAGGAAGCCGGGGGCTGAAGTCCCTCATGGAGTAGTAATATGGCTCTGCTTCTGTGGTACTAACCTGCCACACACACATACACACACAAAGCAGATAAAGCCCTTTCCATCCTCTGACTCCACAGTTCAGGGAAAGGGCAATGATGAACCCAGAGCTGAGGGTGGAATCTTAGTCATGGTCAGCGCCCTGTCAGCGGGGCTGTCCAAGCCACCCCTGCTCACCATGGAGCTTCGTGTGTCCCGGTCTCCAGTTCCCTGGCTCTCCTCATATTCATTCCTGACTCGCTCCTCTTCTGACCTTCCGGGATGCAGGGGCGGAGGGCAGTTGGGTGTGGACCCTCTGCCATCTGCCACCTCAAAACTCCCTCCCTCAGAGCCTTTAGTACAGAAAAATATCCTCACTTACCCAGCCTCTGTCTTCTCTGAGATGCCTGACGGAAATAGGAAAAGAGGGGTCAGAGACCCCTTGCAAGCCCACCTGGCCCTGGGATGACTTTCAACCCACAGTCGCCCCAGGGTTCCCCACTGCCCCTGGGGCTCCATCCTGGCAGGGAGAGGGTCTCTGCTCACCCTCAGAAAGATGCCTCAGTCTCCGCTTCCAGAGGAATCCCCCAACACAGGAGATGTTGGAGAGCAACAGAAGACCCCCAACAGCAAACAGCACAGGCAGCAGGGGCAGCCTCGGAGGCCCTGGAAGGTAGAAGATACTCCTTAGAGTGAGTCCCAAGCAACTGGCTCGAGGCCTGGAGCAGAATTCTCTGAGAATGCCTGTCTTTGGCCAAGCAAAGTCCCTCCTCCAAGGTCAAAAGAGCAGATGGGGAGGGGCTTTCGTCCCCACCCCTTTCTGCCACCCAAGGTCAGGTGGCTCCTTTCTCAAGACGAGCCATTACAGCAGATCCTACCTTTGCCTTCCGTGATCTAGCCTCTTCCCATATCTCCAGCCTGGCCCACCAACTACAGATCCTGGCATTTGGCCTTCCAGCCACACACTAACTGCTGGCTGATTCCAGAATCGTGGAAGCAAATTCACACCTCTGAGTTTTGGAACAGTCAAGTGTCTGTCCTCAAATGTCCTTCCTTCTCAAACAAATTCCATTCTCCGTTGAAATCGCATCTCAGATGACTTCTTTGCACCAGTTTCCATTCTAGCCAGTATAAGGCTGACTCCTCTGCTATATCCCTGAGGACAGGGCTGAGTCCCTATAAGTAGACATCCACTTGGCATCCATTTCCCTGGCTCTTACTGACAGCACTTGTTCTCTTTTGGGGAAATAGACACTCCCTTACTTTCAGTCTAGAGGGCTCAGGCTGGACTCTAGGGTGGGCACATGGTCCCTGGCAATGAAAGCCCCAAACCCCATTCCATAGTGATTGTATTGTAATGGTTTTTGTTTGTTTGTTTGCCAGAACATTTGAGACAATTGTACTGGCTGCCAAGAAGTGGAATAGGGAAGGACTTCATTACCCTCTTGATGGAAGAACATAAAAAAGAAGCCACTATAGATGAAGGTAAAGTTGAGAGAGGGTAACAAACAGATCACTGGTGAAATTTTTGAGCACCTGAATCCAAAATTCTTTTCATCTAAATGCCACTTGGCATTCTTTAATACAGACAACAGCTGAATTTCTGTCACTTGCAACCTTCTTCTCAGGCTCTGAAAGGGATTGTTTGCCAGACGGTTACCATCTCCTCCTCATATTTACTCTCTTGAGTAGTCCTCTTCCACCCTGACTCTGTGTAGAGCCATGTGACTTGCTTTGGCCAATGGGACAATAACAAGTATGACAGAATCAGAAACTTGGAAAGTGCTAGTAAAATGAAACTTACCCTCTTTTGCTCTTGAGACCCCTGTGGTTGTAACAGTGAAAACAGCAAGAGAACTAACACACTAACTCCATTGTTGTTTAAGGGGCCTCTACCCATTCCTGCATATAGGCTAGGATAATGTTAGAGCCGAGAGATAAAGTGCAAAAACAGCAATCATGTGGTTTCCAAAACAAATTCTGGGATTAAAGTTGTAAGCAACCAACTGTGTTTTGTTAAAGATTTATAGGAGCAAGAAGGTTTGGCTGTCATCACATGAAAGAGCATCACCCAAGGACAAAGAGGTTTCCCAAATCTCCCCCCAACTCTTGCTGGTACCTGAATATCTTCCCCCTCGTTTTCCCCTTACCTAAACTTAAAAGACAAAGCAAAGCCCATGTAACTCTAAGATGGTTCTTGAGGACATTCGTTTGCCACTTTCTCCGTTTGTTAGCTCTCTAAAATAAAGTCACTTTCCTCGCTCCAACTCATTGTCTCTCAATTTATTGGTTGTTGTATAGTGAGCAGAACAGGTCTGGACTTGGTTACATGACCACCTCCATGTGAACAAGCCAAGGAGATACAAATGGCCCAGTGATCTCCATTGTCCCAACCCAGGGCCAGATGACTGTCAGACATGTGAGGAGGCCATCCCAGACCAAACCAGTCCCAGTCAGGCTTCCAGTCGACTGTAGAGGTGACTCAGGCCAGCCCAGAATAGAACTGATCCCCCAGGAAGATAGAAAGTTTATCACTCCAAGCAAGAGGAAGAGCTAAGAATATCGGTGGGAGTCGGCAGGGACAAAGCCAAGTCTTAAGGAGCTGTGGCCACAAAGCAGAGGAGTTTGTGGTCAGAGACCAGGAGGTACCATTCTCAAGGGAGAGGGCAGGGATTCTGGGGATTGGGGACTTGCCTGCAGGCTGCTCTGTGGGCAGCTGATCATCTGGTTCTCCAGAAGGCTGGTCCAGGCCTGGGGGTAGGGTGGACACAGAGATCGTGCATTAACGCTAAAAGTCTGAGATGAGCCTTAAATAATTCTCAGCTTCTTCTTAAGCTTTTCAGGCTTATAGGAACTAGTATATGGTTTCCTAAGAATATTTCAAAGAGAGTTGGAAATTGCTGCTAATAGTGGCAATACTATTAATAGCAATTCGAATGCTAACAGCAATAATTAATTATGAATGAGTGCTTTATGATGTGCAAGGTTCTTTTCATCTGAATTACCAATGTGTTGAGTTAACAGAAAAAAAGACTTTGAATGCTCTAGCCCTTAATAGAGATATAAGTTCTGAAGCAAAGGAGGTGAGTGTAGTACTTTATGTTTTAGAGCTCAAAGAAAAGACTAGAATGGGGCAGGGGGAAAGAACAGGGAAGATTGTAGGGCTGGGAAAGGGTTCCTCCAGGAGAAAGAGGCTTCTCTGTCAGGGAGGGGAAGACAGACACAGGAAGCTTCCATGGGGCAAAGTAAACAGAGAGTGAGCAAAGGGCTTTTCTTTAAACTAATATTTAAATAACACTCACTTTGTACTGGGCCTTGTTCAAAGCGCTTTAGACATATTCGCTCATTTAAACCTCACTACTGCCTGAGAAAGGCCTTACTTTCAGAAACAGAGTCATAAAGATCTGTGATATCCCTTATTCTACGAACTAAGGCACTTGCTTAAGGTCACACAAGTAGGAAACGACAGAGAGGACTTGAACCCAGGCTTCCCCGAACCAGACTGTGGGATCAACTACCGCACTACAGTGCCTTTCAGAATCATAATGTACTCACTAGTCATATTATAGGAATGTGTCTGTCTCATCAAAGTTGCTGAATTTGTTGGCATAAAATTGTTCATAATAGCTGGGCCGGGTGGCTCAGCCTGTAATCCCACACCTTGGGAGCCTGAGGTGAATGAATTGCCTGAGCCCGCGGGTTCAAGACTCGCCTGGGCAACTTGGTGAGACCTCATCTCTACAATAAATAAAAAATTAGGCAGGTGTGGCAGTGCGCACCTGTAGTTCCGGCTACTTGGAAGGCTGAGGCGGAAGGATCGCCGGAGCCCAGCAGGTCGAGGCTGCGGTGGCCGGGAGCGGCCACTGCACTCCAGTCTGGGCGACAGAGTGAGACTCCAACTCAAGAAAAAAAAGTTATTTATAATATTCCCTAATTACCCTCATGCTGTCTGTGGAATCACTGGTAATGTCCCTTCTTTCATTCTTGCTATTGGCAAGTTGTATCTTCTCTCTCTTTTGTCTTGATCAGCTTTATACATATTATTGATTTTTTCAAAGAACTCGTTTTCTGTTTTGTTTATTTATGTATTTAGAATTGGAGTTTCACTCTTGCCGTCCAGGCTGGAGTGCAGTGGCACACTCATGGCCACTGCAGCCTTGACCTGCTGGGTTTAGGCGATTCTCCCGCCTCAGCCTTCCAAGTAACTGAAACTACAGACACATGCCACCATGCCCGGCTAATTTTTGTGACTTATTATAGAGACTAGGTCTCACCAAGTTGCCCAGTCTGCTCTCGAACCCCTGGGCTCAGGCAGTCTTCTCACCTTGGCCTCCCAAAGTGCTGGGATTACAGGCTGAGCCATTGAGCCTGGCCTTCTGGTTTATTAATTTCTGCTCTTGCCTTGATTATTTCCCTTTTTCTGTTTATTTTGGGTTTAATTTGTTCTTCTTTTATTATTTTTATTTTTAAAATTTTTGTAGAGATAGGGGTTTCAATATATTGCCCAGGCTAATCTCAAACTCCTAGGCTCAAAAATCCTCCTGCCTTGGCCTCTCAAAATACTGGGATTACAGGTGTAAGTCATCACACCTGGTTCTGTTCTTTTCTAGTTTCTTAAGAGAGAAATTTAGAATGTGGATTTGAGGCCTTTCTCTTTTTCAAAAAACTCTAATACAAACACTTGATGCTATAAATGTCCCTCTAAGCACTGCTTTGCCTGCAACTCTCAATTTTTTTTAAGTTGAGGTCTCACTCTGTCACTCAGGCTGGAGTGCAATGGCACGATCACAGCTCACTGCAGTCTCGACTTCCAGGGCTCAGGCGATTCTTCCACCTCAGCCTCCTGAGTAGCTGGGACTACAGGTGCATACCAACACACCCAGCTATTTTTTAAAAAAATTTGTAGAAATAGGGTCTTGCTACATTGCCTAGGCTGGTCTCAAATTCCTGGGCTCAAACAATCCTCCCACCCCAGCCTCCCAAAGTGCTGGGATTACAGGCGTGAGCCACTGTGCTCGCCCACAACCCCAGATCTTTATATTTATACTTTTTATTTAATTCAAACTATTTTCTAATCTCCCTTGGTCATTATTCACATTCAGACAATATAGGTTGGTGGCTAAAGACTGGTCTCTGGAGTTTTAATTTCATTTTACCTTTTCCTAGTTGTGTGACCTTGGACAATTTGCTTAGCTACTCTAGGTCTCAGTTTCTTCATCTGTAAAAGGGGAATATGAATAGTATGCACTTCACTATGTCACCCTGTAAGTCCTCTGAGGAACATTCCAATCTGCTCAAAACTGTCCCTTCCCACCTGGGGTAGTGATGGGGAGCTGGGCCCCCTTGTCAGCTAGTCCACTGTCCCCCAGGGCATTGCTGGCCAGTAGCCAGACCCTGTATCGTGTAGAAGGCTGCAGCCCAGTCAGTATGAAGGTGGTGGCCTGGGGCGGAAGGACATCCACATAGTGAAACCCTGGAATTCCCAGGGCCTCATACCTGCACAACAGGGAAAACAGTCAGCTCAGGAAAGCGCCCCAGCCCCACTGGCTGCTACCCCTTCCTGCCTTGTCAGAGACCTACCTGATTTGGAACTTCTGTGGCAAACCTCCATCAAAGCCAGGCTTCCATTCCAGCCCCACTGAGTGCGGGGTCACACTCAAAACCCTTAATCCGGATGGAGGGTCAGGACGGCCTATGGGCAGAAGGATGGGGAAGTAGAGGATACAAAAGGATTCTAGGAGATTCCTTCCAGGTTTTTCTTAAGAATTATTTTAAATATACAATCATTTCTCATTATGTGTGGTAGTCATGTTCTGTAAGGTCACTGTGAACACCAAACTAGCAAATTCCAAACTATTGCTTTTGGGAGAAATTCAGGGTCAGGTTTCTTCAAACCTCTCACCACAACATTTTTATAAATCAATCAATACATGATCTTGTTCTATGTGTGTTTCTGTTTAAAGGCACCTTATTTAACACATATTGTTGATGCATGGATATTGAACTCATAGCCAACTGCACCATGCCTCATGTCTGAACAAAACTCATCCAACACAAGTATTTCCTCTGTAAGGCACACCATAGCCTCTTGAGTGTAGGGACACTGGACAGCATTTCAGATCTGTGCTTGGAGGCCAACTGAAACAGCAAAATCTCTGATAAAAAGCACAAAAATGCTGAGAGAGAGAGAGAGAGAGAGAGAAAGCATGCAATGAACCACAAAAAGGACACTTGGATACAGTATGAGAACTGAAACAAGAAGACAGAGTGTCACCTTGTTCAATCTCAGCTAGGAATGTGCACATCAGGTGACACATTTTTTGCCACTCTGTACACATCCTCAAATGACCACAAAAGCACCATTGGGATTACAAATACATGTTAGCGAAGTAGGTGAATTTGCAAATAATGAGGATTGACTCTGTGTGTGTGTGTTTTCTGTGGTAGATTTTTTTTGGTACCAATCTCACATCCATTCTTCTGGTTTCAAGAACCTAAATTTCCTTTGGAATATCACCCCTCCACAACATTCTCAGGCCAAACGCTTCTGATGGAAGTGACTCCACTCCTAGACCGAGGGATATGTGACCAGGTTGCCTCCTCCGGCCATATGATTGGTTCAACGATGGGCTGGAAGCCAAGTAGAGCTGGCAAAATTTAATTCTGGTATTTTCATACCACTGTTAGAAGAGAAAGAATTCTATTTCCTCTGGGAATTCTAACAGCACACTAACCAGGCACAGTGACTCAAGCCTGTAATCCCAGGACTTTGGGAGGCCAAGGCGAGAGGACTGCCTGAGCCCTGGGGTTCGAGACCACCCTGGGCAACTTGGCGAGATCTCATCTCTACAATATATCAAAAATTAGCCAGGTATGGTAGCGTGCTTCTGTAGTTCTGGCTACTTGGAAGGCTGAGGTGGAAGGATTGCCTGAGCCCAGCGGGTCGATGCTGGGGTGGCCATGAGCATGCTACTGCACTCCAGCCTGGGCGACAGAGTGACACTCTGACTCAAAAAAACCAAAACCAAAACCAAAAAACAGACCACTATGAGGAACCTTGGAAAAAAGTCAATACAGAGAAAAGCAGACCTAAGAGATGGAGAGTTCTTGAAGAGGACTGAACCTAGATCCAGCAACCCCTGAAAATCTACTTTTCAGTTACTTGAGCCAGTAAGTCCCTCAACTCCATCTTTTTTTGTTTTGCCTTTGTTGTGGTTTCCCTGAAGAACCAATCTCCACTAGGATTTTCAAGGCCAACAAAAATGCCATCCTTACACATAAACAGGTTCTCAGTTTCAGGAATGCTGGAAGTCTGGGGCCAATCAGGGACTTGGAAATAGATTCGGAGATCACCACCCCTCAACACCCTCATAGCCTCTTCCCACCATACTGATGCTGACGAGTTGAATGTTGGTGTGGTCCGAGCCAAGGGGGTTGGTGGCTGTGCACATGAAGAGGGCATAATCCTGGGCTGCAGACACATTGGCAATGGTCAGGAGACTGCTGTGGACTCCACCCTGGTGGTATGTGTGCTCCGTATACCTGAGAAGATGGGACAGGGACTCAGGGAGAGGAACCAGGGCTGAGGGTCCAGCGTTGGAGCTGGAGTTCTGCCTGGCTGGGCCTTGGCTCACCTGGGATCCTGGAGGTCCAGAGGGACCCCATTTCTGGTCCAAGTGAAGACGATGTTGGGCACACCTCGGGCACGGCAGTGGAGGGTGGCAGAACTGGTGCCATCTCCAGCTGCAGCCACTTTAGTCAGGGGAGTGGGATGTTCCACCTGAGGGGCAACTAGGAGGGGTTGGGGAGTCAACATAAGGTCTGCGGGAGAACACAAGGGTTGTAGGTTTAGTGGCAGGCCTTGAGGTCAAGGGTTGAGGTGTTACCCACATCTGACAACAAGACGGACCAGTCCTCGTGCTGGAGGTGCCACTCCATTGTCCACGATGCACTGGTAAGCACCAGCCTGGGTCAGCTTGGCATCGTGAATCCGCAGGCGCCCTGTGGATCCCTTGGACACCGCCTCCATGTCATCTAAGCTCTGGTCCTCCTCTTCCCCCTGGAAGCTCAAGATTCAGGAGTTGGGCCCCCCAGCCCGGTCCCAGATCCATCACCCCCCCAACCGTGCCCCTTCTGTAGCCTCATTCTCCGAGTGACGATCACCCTCCACAGAGCTATCAAATAAAGAATGTCTCCTGTCATCCATCCATCATTTACCCAAACCATCTACTCATCCACCAATCCAGGCCACACTCACCCGTCCATTGATCCAGTCACTCAGGCTCGAATCATCCATCCACCTGCCCGTTCATCATACAACCATCTTCCTGTCCCTTCATTCATTTACCCTTCCATCCATTCACCCACTCACTTGTCCAACGATGCATCTTCCTTCCATGCACGCTTCTCTCCACCTCTGTAGCCCTCTACCCATTCGCCCAGTCTCTTCACTCATGCGTGCACACACCCAGAGCTTCAGGCCTCTCTTCATCCATCCATCAGCTACCTATTTATCCATCTGTCCGTTGATCTCCACCCATCCATTCACCCATCAGTTCATCCACCATCCTTCTACAGACCTTTTTCCACCGATGGTGTTTCCATTCAACCATCTACCCTCCGATCTAATCTGTCTACCACTCATTTCTCTCATCTAACCATCCAGCCACCCATCCATTTGTCCTTCACTTCACTAGGCCATCTGTCTATTTATTCATTCATCCATCCACCCATTCATCCACTCAGCCATCAACCCATCTCTCCATCCACGTACCCACTCACCTGGCTATCTATTCACCCACCTATCCATTAGTTTGCCATTCAACAGACAGTTTGTCAGTTTCTGGAGCATGCTCTGACAAGCATGGAGCGATACAGGGTCACACACGTGCGGTCCGCACTCCCAAGGACACACCCCCTGACTCCACCTCCATTCACCAAGGGTTAGTTCCTCACCAGCCTCTCCCAGTGGAACATCCCGGGGAGGACGGGATTGGCATCAGCAGTGCAGACTATGTCCACAGAACCCCCGACATTCACCTCAGTGGGGTCCCGGAGCGCGCGGATGGTAGGAGCATCTGGTGGGGAGGCAGAGTCTTGGAGAAGGTACTTGGGTCCAGACAGCAATGGTGGGAGAGGGCTCAGGTGGGAAGGGTGTCTTAGAGGGTCCAGGAAAGTTATGCATATGGGTACAGTGAGCCCTTAATGCAGAGCACTTGGAGGAGAGATCTTGGGATTCATGAGTTGCCCCCCACCCTTTACTGTGCCTCTAAGGTGATCACGGTAGATCAGGCTGGCTTCCAGAATTCTCTGGGGTTAGGGCTTCCACAGTGGGCTTGGATTCTTAAAGGGGCCCAAGTAGGCATGCCCCCTCTCTGTGCAGAGATCCCACATTGGGTCTTTCTAGTGGCAGGGGTTCCACAGTGGGTCTTCCACATCCTAGTCTGGGCTTCCCAAGTGGGAGGGTTCCAGGATGGGTGGATATCCCTGGATGGACGGGGCTTCCACAGCTAGGAAACTCTAGTGTGCGGATTCCTCTGGTGGGTGCGGTTTCCATGGCTCTCTGGAGGGGGTGGTGGGGAGAGTTCCCCGGTTTCCTAGAATGATGAGGGGGCTCACAGTGCACGTCCAGCCGCACTAGGGCCTCGGCAGTGCCCTCCGAGTTCTGGCAGTGCAGCTGATAGAAGCCGTCGTCGGCGCGGGTCACATTCCACAACTGCAGAGCCCCGCCAGACAGGACGCGATGCCGGGGGCCGCCAACTGAGGAAGGCCAGGGTAAGGGCCCGGCAGGCCCTCCCATCCCCGGGGAGCCGCACCCCCCTCCATGCCCACTTTCTGCACCTGGACTGAGGCGATAGCCCCGGAAGGTCCAGTTGAAGGCCTCAGGGGCGGGATTAGCGGACACGGACACGGGCAGCAGCGCTTCGCCCTGCTCCACTGCGGTCACCACGAACATCTGCTCCCCCAGGAACTCTGGAGGGTCTTCAGAGGGGACAGCGCAAGGAGTCCAGGTTATTGTTAAGGTCTGGGTCAGAAACTGATTTGAGATCAGGCACAGGCTCAAAGGTTGAAGTCGGGGTCATGGCTAGGTTTCTGGTTGTGGACAAGGCAACAATTAATTACTTTCTGAGATGAGCTGGCGGTAAGGTTCGGAATAGAAATTAGGATCCAGTTTAGCGAAAGGGTAGAGTCCAGGGTCAGGTTTAAGGATGGAGAGAGGGATCAGGAGTCAGGAGAGAGGTCAAAATGAAGACGGGGAGTGCAGGATGGGAACCGGCGCAGCGCCAGGGGTCTGGATACAGGTTAGGAAAGTTTCAAGTTTCAGGACGGAATCCAGGACAGTGTCAAAGTGAAGACGCCAGTAGTTTAGGGTCAGGCGGGGAGCAAGGGTGCCAGGCCGGGGCACATACACAGCACGTCCAGGCGGTAGAAGGAGCTCACGGTTTCGCGGAGCTCGACGCTGTGGGCGCTGCAGGTCACGCGGTGGCCATGGTCGCGGGATGACACTCGCCAAAGGACGCTCCTGGCCGCGGCGGAGCCTTTGAACGGGGCGCTCGGGGGCTGTGTGGCCACGCCTTCCAGCCTGGGG